GGACTTTATTCCATTTGGATTGGCACAACTGCCCTAATGAAAGCAATTGTCATTTCGGGTAGGAGGAAGGTTCACCATAACATGTGTTAGGTGCCCAAAATAAAAGGTTTAAGTTTCAAACGAAACACTGACGAGATGCAGAATGGCAGCAAAATGAGATCAACATATTAACAAGAGCAAGGGAACCCGTTTAAACAAGTAGGTCGAGCAGCGAAGCAGAAGCTTACTTTTGGTGAAGAGGATTGGCTTGAAGGCAGAGTTAGAGCATACATTCTGCAGGCATAGTAGCGAGCCTTCTTGGGTAACGCCGCGACACAGTTTCACCTGGCTTATCAGGACATCTACAGCACCTAAATAAATGAACGATAAAGTGATAGATGCAACAATCAACACTTGAACGGCAGCCGTTCGACATAATTACCAGTAGCAGTATTAAGTACTGGATGGACTCGGAAACGCAGACCTCAGTATTACGGGTGGACTTGCGCCGAACTCCAGGGTCATGAGGATTAGTGTAAGGGTGAAGGTTACAGTCAGGACAAGGGAATATGTACGAACCCATAATTTAGAGCAAGACCACCCGTAGTACTGGGAGCTCTAATATCGTGTCCTACCAGACACGGAAAACCAAAAAAGGCTGACAGTTGGGATGACCGAATATATCGACACGAGAAACTTGCTAAAAGACAGGTAATACCACAAGTATTGAGCAATATGAAAGGCGAAAGGTGGATGCAAAAAACGATAGGTTGGGTAGATCATAAGCCTCATAACACAGCGACCGCAAAAACAGGAGTAAATGATATAAAGGGAACATGGAATAAGAAAATCTGTCGGATATCGATGGTGGTTATGTAAGCATCGGCATTATAACAGACTGCTGAGATGGATTTAAGTAGTTAAAATAGCACCATAAACGGTTGCGCGTTTTTATTCATCAGTTCGTAACAGGCAAACTTATCTAGTTTCAGCACTTTTGTGATTTCCACTGTCAATCATGACTGAAATACTGCAGAAGAATTGGTACAGTAGGCATACTCATCAAAAGGCATTTTCTGAAATTCTAGGAGTTTGTCCTGTGGCCAAAAACACCGCTTTATATTACCTGGTGTAGCCAAAATGAGAGACTGTCCTTCCCGTGTGAAGGAGAGGTTTGTTACTAATTTGAGCCAAAGGCGTAGGAGATGCTGACCGCGAGACACCCTCACCAGGGACTGAATATCAAGTTCACCAAATGGGTGTAGGATTCGGGCCTAGAGTTGGTGAATGATAATCAAAATTAATGCAACAGAATTAATACGGAAGAAAAGCAATCGATTATCCACAGAAACTCCTAAACTGTATACACAATGAATGCAACCTCGCTCTTATATCGTGACCTATTAACTTTATTAATATCAGACTGTAAGAAGCTAAGGCACCTTCGTGCTGTCTGGTGCAATGACAAAAGAAACCGTGGCGATTAGCATAACTAGGCGATGTTGGCATAAAACACCGTAGCCAAAATTTAATTGAAACAGAGACATTATAAAT